GGGGGATCGTGGAGGATAGGCAAGTGGATTCCACTTTCAGGCATTAACAGAAAACAATGAGCCTCAAAGACTCTAAATCCCTTCACCGCTTCTTTCACCCCACAAGATTGCTTCGTCAGGACAGGAATGCCTGCTGACCGAATAGTTGTCTAAAATGTCCTTCCCAATCCAGCATTGGGCAAACCAACATTTCATTGGCCATGTCCCAACGATCCACTCGTCGTCCATCCCACAATTACAAGGCCCCGTGTCATTCTCAAAAGACAATGCCCCCTGGGTGGAGTAGACTGCGAATCTCTTGGTGAAGGCCAAACAATCATGGTTTAGATCTACCTGCTCGGTGCCCTATAACTCAAATGTGTAGAAAAATCATCGTTGATGAAAGCTGCGGCCCGTTAATTAGTGGGAAGAAAGGTCACTTCTTGCACGTCAGCGCACAACCTCTTATCACGAACCCAAGCTATGAGATTTAGAGATCAAAATCGAAGGAAGATGCTGTCCCATCCTCATCCTTCCCGTTTCCTTGACAATAATTCCCCATGTGACTATCATCTCTTAGCATTAGGTAGTCACCTACACGACCATACGCTTTAGGAAGCACTGTTTGTCTTAACAGGTAAAGCATATGAATAGTTGAAAATGTTAATCAGGTGAACGATCTAGCAAACATGAAAAAAGTGGTTGCTGGCGAAGAGTCAACTGCTTTCAGCCATACCTTCATAGCGTTGTGCCCTTGGTACATCTTCGTTGCCATCTGCTTGTGCGACCGGATGGGATAACGCCGCCTCAGCCTCTGTGCATCCAATACTGAGAAATATGTCCAGTTCTAATGCATTGCTTCATTAATCATTGGCTCAGTAAACTCCAGTGTTCGCAACAGTAGCAAAAATTTGTCGAATGAATTCCAATTTTCCAATTACAGTAGAAACAAAAAACACGAAATTGTGGTAGGGAACAGAATTATTGTGATAAATTGACGCGCAAAACGTGTGTGAAGATCAACCGACGAAAAAATGAAGAGTGCGTTCCGTACCGCGATGCTATCCCTCCGCTATAGTTCAACATAATTTTACTACCCCTGCACTGGAACTTTCCAAAAAAGCCAAGCCACATTCTTAGGAAATCTACACAAAATATATTTAACTTAAATGAATCAGATAAGATTGCTCCTGACGCGGTCACGTCTGATGTTTAATAAATATAAAGCAAGTGGAATGTAGACGGTGGCAACAGTTAGAGTTGCACCGAAAGAGTCAGTGGTATAGCACCAGGTAAACCATATGACAAGCTTTTCAACGACGCTAACGCAGTCATTTGATTTTCCTGACGTCAAACAACAGGACCATCTTCAAATGTCACCTTTTAAGACCGCAGAAGAATCCCACTTTCCTCGAGATGTAAGACGTAATAATGAGGTCCAAAAGAAGCTGCTCGGGGCCTTCGAGAGTATATCCGATCCACCACGTTGCGAATACAGGGTGGTATACGTCAACTCCGCAACACAGATCAGCAAAACTGTCTATGAGTTCAAGGCCGTGGTTGAGAAGAGGAAACTTAATTCCTGTGTAAAGTGTATCTGTGAATGCAGCTGGTGCCCTGTACGAAAGGTCAGAACAACGGTGGAGACCTATCACGTCCGCTATATCGAGGACGAGGGCGGAGTGCGCGCACCAGAAATATTTGTTGAAACCATCAATTAACGGCGTTGATGTGCGAAAAGACACACTATCTTCCGACAATACACGTATATGCATAAACGCATCAATACCTTGTAAATTCTCAAGAGTAAACCTTTAATATTCATTGGAGCTTTATTTACAGATTTGAAGAACAGCTATTTTCGCCGCGTTTGCTTGCTAGGTTTTGCTGCACGCTCTTTGATCGAAGTTTGTAGATTCTTCTGTCGATTACCAAAAGACCTTCTACTGCTAAAATGAGTCTATAAGTTGCACGCTACCTTTACCTTTGTTTGTGACAACCCTCCGAGCGTACTGAAATTGGACGCATACCTTTCCACCTAGTATTTCTACTTGGATGATTCGTTCCTTCCCAGTCACAATACCCAAATGGGCAATTATAATGAACGTAAGTCTCCAACCCTAATGCGTGTGACGACGCATCATCTTCGTCATATTCAACTTCAGATGAATCAAAAATATTTCGGCGTTTCCGTTGCATTCTGCGAATATCCGCTAGACACATCGACAACCCGAATCGTCCTAAGGGCAGGAAATTAGACCGTTTGCAATAAACACCTACTTTTTACACAAAATTGTACGATTTGGCATGGGATTTTCAGATTTAACAGGGTAGATACGTATTCAAACCGGCGATCGTAATTGCCCACAGTAGTGGTCCAATGGCCCATCAGCTCGCTTATCGTCTCGTGGTTATGCACAACATTGAACTGCCGCAATGTGAACCCCTTCCCATCGTACCGGAAGCTGATCCGAGACGGACAATTCGTTCGAACAGACCTAGTCTTTGAAATATTAGGAAAATTACAAGGAAACTTTGCAAGTAATGCTATCAGAGCCTGCACGAACACAAACAAACACAATCGTTTTGAAGAGAATCCTCATCCAAGTTTTATCGGATATTGGGAATCTTAGTCCATGGGAATAGACAAACTCCGAGCCTGTGACCTTGAAAGATACATGAGAACAGGAATAACCTACCTCATTAAACCTCTTAATACTACTGCAAAGTTCGTCAAAAGAAAGTATTTGTGCATTGCTAAAAATCAACACATTATTTGCGCCAACACACGATGAAAAAGGTTCTAATTCAGTCAAGAAGGGGTTGACATGATACCTGTTTCAAGGGTGCGCTGCGTCGAATGGCAATGTGCGCTCAATTCGGCACAAAGGGGGTTTTCGAGGCGGCTAGGGAAGGGGTTCTCAATCCATGCTCTTCGCTTGCAAAGCACTTTTAGTTCACTTCCGCAGACGTGATTATGCTTCATATTAAAAGCCAAAATCTTCATCACGTCCTTATTGCTGACAAACGTTATACTCGCTCGGCACCCTACAGTAAATTTTGAAAAGCGAAGAAAACCTGTTTTTGCTGTCTTCTTATAGCGACTCTTGTAGAGAACACAAACGAGAAGGAGGCGTTTGTATACCAATTTCAAGCTTTTTGGGTCGTCCTCCTTGAATTTTTGGCTATTTCCAGTGACGAAAGATAGACCAGTTGCCTGTAGAAGAAGTGAGCAACACAAATGCTAGAACCTCTTCAAAATTATGCAACACTTTCATCGCGTCCGAATAAGATTCAAACTCTCTTTGTGAAAAGTATCTCGTAAACTCTTCGGATAAATCAGCCATTACGAAGTCTGAAACCATGAAGTCGATGTTGTATTCTTACAGTTTTCAGGTAAAAGAGCATGGTTGTGACTCATATTAAACTGACTTATCCGAAGATAATTCTGTTTTTTAGATAGTACGAAATACGATGGGCAGTCAGAAAAACAGCATGCATATTTCATGTAGCGATAGATGAGCGTTGCCTTTTGAAGGGAATCGGCAGTCAATGGTGTACACCTCACAACCTTATACCTAACATTGTTCAATGAGTAAAAATCCGGGAGCCTTGATTTAAAGTCTTCAAAGTTAGAAAACTGCCATGATCGAATATGAAGGTCAAATGACGGTTGGATATTTTCATCATTTGCCAAAGCAATATCCTGCAATGAAGCTTCCAGAGTTTTCCGCGTTGTGTTCTCAGTTCCAGTGCTCAACAAAGCTCCAAGTAAGCTAAATGAATAAACTGGACAGAGGAACAACCAAAACGTACGAGGAACCCGAATCGCGATTGGTGAAGACCATGGGTGAAATGGGCGACAGTGAATGAGCGTTCGGGTCTAATTACAAAGGTCAGTTAAAATTTTTTGGTGTAATATTAATACTGTAAGTTTATATTTGGTTCTTATTAGAACTACATTAATTTTACAATGCTAAGCAATAATAATTTTAAACCCGACTTTTTTGGCTCACGAATATACATGGCCGCTTTGCAACCGATCCTTTACTTATTTAAAGGCTCTTAATCCTATAATAAATTCGTTATTTAATTAAACAATGGTTACTTTGTTTTCAGGAGTAGATGAGCAGTAAGCAAAGCAAACTATGGATATCAAGGTCGGATGCGGCAATATTGCGCTTTAAGGTAATGGAGCACTTGGGTAGTGTCTACGTTGGTGATTATGCAAATAAGAGGTTTTTATTAGTATGTAAGGTTATTAATAATAGGATGGAAGGAAATGGAAGTTATAAGCTACCTACAGGGTCCATTTATGTTGGAGAGATGAAAGATGGGATGTATCATGGGGTGGGAAAAATTACCTACCCCGACGGTGGGCAGTTCGGAGGCATATTTTCGAAAGGATACCCTGTTTCTGTAAGCTCACGACTTTTTCTGAGTGTAGGGGTCTTTTGCATTTCCTGATGGTTTGGAGTATTCTGAAACTAAATGGCTTTATTGCGATGGGAATGACCGCCGTCTCGAGTCTGAAATAAAATCAGGGCTTAATCCTACCGGTTAAGTACTGCTCTTAATAAAATCTGACTGTCTTATACCTTATTGTTTATAATCCCAGGTTGGCCTACTTTGCGCCAAACTGCGTTTCCTCATCAACTTATGGTGTTATTTTAAAATTTGAAACAAAAATAGCTCGTATTAAATTGCACAAAAAATTTAACGGCAAAATCCTACTTTAAAGGCGCCGAGAATCTTGCAGATGGACCAAAGCGAGGAATTCCTGATGGATATTATGACATTGGTGATGGTTTTTACGATCCACAGACTCGAACTGTATATGATTATAAGATGCGATTTCTTAGGAATGCTGGTAGCTATCACATTTTAATATTATACACTTCTTGAATAGATGTTGCAGAACATGAATGGGCAATAACACATGGCCGTAAAGGATGGGATGAGTTTACAAGAGGTCAGCCCAACCTTTGCAGGCCAGAACTTTCAGATCCTCGACTAAATGATCTGGACTGGAACAAGTAGCGCCAACTTCTAAAAACCGAATTCCATATAGATTAAATGAGCCAGAATCGTACTTGGAGTACGTTCGGTTGTTGAATGCTCGGAAGCACTAAACGAAGATATTGTTGAAATAGTTATAGCTGTAAAGTTTATCATAACCTTACAGCTTTATCAATTTTAATGTTGGCAATTGTTACCAATAAGGTGTACTGTAAGCCCTGTTCCTCTGCCCAAGCATGCTCGAGCAAATGAACGTCAATTCATTGAAAATGAGTGTTGATATATTTGGGTATTTTGTATTTTCAAAGTCAATGTCACTTCTGATAAAACGAGTGGAAGCTGTCTAACACTAGTCAAGTCTTCGAAGGACGCCTACCGTTCCCTGCCAGAAATACAACAACTGAAGGGCTTATTTTTGCAAAACTCGTTTGTTAAAGCAACTTGCAGTCTTACAATCGTGAGAAGAATGCCTCATTAGGTTTTGGGCTTGGGAAATGAATGAAAAAGCTTGAAGTAGTATCCAAAACTATGCACATTGTTTTCGGGCGATGTGGTCAGACGCCCATTCCTTACATGTTTTTGCGCGCAGGAAAGCTAATCTCTTCTTTCTTTAGCACTAAATGGTTTTAATAATCCGTGTGTACCGTGGTACTCCCGACCAACGCTGACATCCGATGTGGAGAACGAAATGTAGGAAATCTGATTCTCAAGCATGGCCTATGGGTTTCTTTTACAAATATAGGTTTCGTCACTGGTGCCAGAATTTCCGTTAGCGAAATTCCCTTTGGAGCAACAATATTACCAGAGGCTCATACTGCTATCATTTCGATTCATTTGCATCTAATGGCTTGGGATGGTCTCTATTTTGGATAGTAAATGTTCTTTTGTATACTTAAGAATCTTGAAAGTCTTTGTTAATAACAAGGGTGTGATTAGTGTTTATTAATCTACGACTTAATTTAAAAAATAAGATATTTCTCCTTATTGAAAGTTGTTTAAAAAGGGTTCCTTGAATTTCGCCTACTTTTTTTCGAGTGATATCGATATCCAGATATGGAACATATTTCAATGCGAAGATCGTTAGCTGAAATTAATTGAACTACTTTCATGAGCGGAGTGGTAAGAAAATCACCTTCATAAAAAGCATCAGAATTAAGGGCAGATTCATGATATTAATGCACCGCTAATAGCAGAACGAGTTCGTCCAACTCCTCTAGGCGCCGCAGTCGTAACGTGCAGCCGCCCCCTAGACCGTTATCAGCCGCGTGTCACATCAGGCTAATGATGCTGTGTAACCCAAAACAAACAACTGCATTCTATTGAGAGCTCCTTTTTTACTCAAATATGGGTTCTGAAGCCTATTTTCTGATTTGAAACTAAAAACTGTCCCGGTAGCAGTCGAAGAGCGACATTTTCATTACGCTTTTCACAAATTAAGCACCTCTTGATTTGTAAAATATCCGTAAGAGTTTAGTGAGTTTTTGCATTTGTATCTGAATTGCGTTACTTATATTGTATGACTCTAAATTGTGTTTTTCCACTATTTTTGTTCTTGAAATTCTAAGGAGAAGCCTTCCATCCACGCGTTTTATTTAACTATGCGGTACCCCCAATACAGAATACTGTCTAACTCCGTTGCTGAACCAAATGAGCCCTATCGAGGTACTCATTTGTTGTCACTAATCGTTAACTGTTTCGTAGCTATCCATATACGATGATTCAGTTTTTTATTTCAAACTAATGGAATCAAATCCCTTAACTATCGGCATGTAAAACTGTTTGTTGGGTTCGGACACGTGGCTAATTTATTTCGGGATTTTCCAGCTCTTCAATTTGCATGAGGGTAACTGCGAGTTCAGGGTGTGCTATTTTAAGAGTAAACACTCGGCAACAGTTTATGGACACGACGGGGTGTGTTCAGATAAATAGACATTTTAATAGTCAATTTTGAGAATATTTTTCTGAGGTAAAGCATTTAAATGCTTGAAATATATTCAAACCTCCTTTGAATTTACATTGTGCCTGTTCTCATTATTATTTGCCGTAAGCAAATAGAAGCTTTGGGCGTAACACCCTCCTGTATACCTCCTGGTTAACTTTCCTTAAGGTAGACGATGCAAGAAAGTCAAATCTCAGTATTAATGCAAAATGAAATTAGTCCTCCTCCATGACTCCATGCGAGTCGCCACATTGGCACACCTTAATTAAGGTCAATCTGGTCAACATATGGGTAGCAAACATTCAACCCCTTTAAAATTTACTACACAAACGATGTAGCAAGGGTCAGACAGATTGTTTTAAATTTTTAATTTCTCATCGACATGCTACAATACTAAAAGTGTCCATTTTTACAGTACATCCTCTTGAGCACGTTAGGGTTACTTGCGACTATATTCGAACACCAACATCCCCGAATAGATTGCTCACGTCTAGCCACTCCTCCAAGGGGTCTAAAAGGAAGCAACTGAGGGGAACTGTCGGGTCAAATAGACTAATTACAATTGCAATTTATTTTGTAATGTTTTGGCCATATTTTACACCATCATTTCTCTGTAAACATGCTGCACAAAATTCAGCAGCTTTCACAGCATGCATATCACCTTACTGCATCAGAACTTCTATTTATTTTCTGATGTAATAGGTGTGTCAGACCTACTCCACATCAATCACCTCACTTCTTGACCGAGCATTTTACTCTCTGCTTAACAAATGCAAAAGATATTAGGTATGAGTGTTAGAGCGATGAGGTCCAGACTCCACCAGTCATAAAAGCTAGATAAGGATTCGTTTCCGTTACACTCCATGGTGGTAATACTACTTGATTCTATTTGTATTTGCTAAACATATTTGTTATTGTGGACATTTTAATGACCAACATAAACTTGTTTGCTAATATGTGTATGTGCCTAGCAATGTGAAATAAAAGAGTCTGCGTCATTAATTGTGCTGTAATACGATAGTGTTTTATCCCTCGGTTCTGGTGAGGCGCCACTTTTTGTACTTCGAATTAGCCCCCTTATACCTCGCTGGGTGGGCTGGCCTTTTGGGCCATGCCAATAGCCCAGACACCTTCTCCGTGCTGAATATATATATTCTGCCCGAGTATTGTCCTCTTTCGTCTTCAGGGAGTCCCGGGACGCTACAGTGCGCTATGTGTAGAGTTTGCACAATGCACGGGCATTTCTTTCCATGAAAATTGCAAAACCATCGCTCAGGAGCATTCAGCGAGAAATCCGGTTTAATGTCTCTACATGTGACACCAATTAGAGCATCAGTGCCAAGACGCCAAGTGTTTTACGCATGTCAAAGTTTAAATATGTTATGCTTGTATTCGAGGCACTGACTCAGACTTCATCAACTTTGGGAGATGTTTTAAATACGCCCACCTTTGTCCCTTTATTTTACAAAAGAGGGTTTTCATTTCCACACATTTCGACAAAACTGACGGTAATGCCTTGCCGAACCATTTACTTCTTCCCTGTTAGCCCTTGGTTCAATATGTATGGGCATTACCCACACGTTTCCCATAATTCTAAAGTAACTAGGCAATAGTGCTCTTGAAGAGGAATTAGGAAAGGTGAGTCTCGTTCACGTAAGTAAACACTTAAACATTCGATGTACTTACCGGTGAGATCTTATTTGCCAATTTGAAGTAGTTTCTTCCAAAAGAATTTAAGGCATATCAAAAAAATGTGGAACAAACCAAAAGTGTGTTGGGGTTTGAACACTCGACTCAGAACGAAGTTATTCACCAATAAAATTTTCTTAGGGGTAGGTACCTTAGCGATGTATGGTTTTCTGCAGCCGACCGCAAAGGTCCCTTCAAATGGATTTTTTTATTGTGAATCAACGTTCTGCTTGGTAAAAGCCAGCAAGGCTGTAGCTATATGATGCTCAAAATCGCTCTTTACTTACTACTTGGTGAAATTTCTATTGCATGGATTCTAAGAACCCAATCTGTTCACTTTCATTGATGAATATGGCAGAGTTTAATGCATCCCACATAGGAAGAACAAATTCCATAGAGTAAAACATCTCGGTCGTGTTGCCTAATAGTTGGCACGGATTGCATGGTGTCATCGATCTGCAAGGTCCAACTTGTATGAATTGGTCCAGCCTATTCATCCCCTGAGTTCGAACGTTCTCACGTTGACCCTCTCAGAGCCTATGTCCCTTCACTTATTCACTTAATTGTAAAGTGGTTCTGCATGTCCTCTTCAAAGTTAAAGAAGCATGGCTACAAAAGCAAAGCTTATTATCAATAAAAAGAGCAAAACGGCATCTCAACTTGTGATTAGTGAAAACTCATTTCGAGGGTGGTTAAAAATTTCACATAAATTTATGCCGTTACCTCCATAGGGGTGTGGGCATACACACCACCACTTGGTGAAAAGAACATTTAGAATTTGAGAAACGAATTTCAAGCATGAGATCGAAAATTGCAGCAAACCTAATCAAGTTGTACTAACTTGCCAATTTTGCTGTTTAGATCCCAAGTGGTTCCATTAATGGAACATCTTAGTATTTCTTACTACTCTAGATCTTTGGTCTTAGTCTTCTATTCCTTAGTCTTAAACGTGCAATGTAAGATAAAACGTTATCTTCTGGCGCAAATTCGATCAAATCAGTTGAAGCTTTATCATCATTTGTTCATTCGTTAATTGGCTAGTGTAAACAACCAATAACAGCTCGGCTCATTGGCCAGCCAAGTAACAAGGCTTAGACAGCTGTTATTCATAGCTGTTCGTGATACCATTCACATTGACGAATTCTCGTCAAATCTGTTCAAAACTGTGACCCAGAATATGCTCATGGAATAAATCAACGTTTGCAAACTATGGATATATTCTATCACACTGCAGAAGGAATCGTTAACACGGCCCAACAAAATTTGAATGGAGGTGTCTTTACGTTCGTTTTGGAGCATTTAATAAAACCATCGGAGTTATCATACAGTCTGCACTCGCAACCGTTTTCCTCACATTTTGCTAATACCATCAGTTCTGGAGGGTTTCTAGCAGGAATATTTTTTGGCTTTCTCTGGTGCGTTGGTCTTTTAGCCGGTTTCATTTACATATGGTGGCTGAGGTACCGTAACAAATCCACCATGAATGCGCTTCAAGTAGTGAAAAACAAAACCTCGAATAATGAATGTCAAAACGATGGAATAAAGTCACCTAAAAAGTCCAATTTTTTTCTTCGGAGGCGCCAAATGCAATCAAATTGGATGTGCATCGCATCCCAATGTGTTATATTCACGGCCTTGGTAGGTCTTCTCTTCCTATTATGCATTCTTGGATTCGTCGCAAGTTACTCCCTCCACACATCTTTAGTTTTTAAATCACCTCCTCCACAACCCTTACGAAACCCAGAATATTTGTTCAACAACAACAATGGCCTTTTCCCTGGCATAACATCGGCCCTTGAAAGCGCTCGGCTGTATATGACTGAATTTCTTAGCGAAGTTCGAATTGCAACTAAGCCAGCTGTCGAAAATCTTATACAGGCGACTGTCGAAATGCAAAACAGAACCACTCATGAGTTCAACGCTCTACTTTTCAATATGCTTGGTATTGACCAAGCGTTTGACCTTGGAGACAAGCTAGGCACTCATACTGTCAGCATGCTCAACTTGGTCACTCCATTGAAAAGCCATCTGGTCGAATATACGGACACTATTTCTTCTCTGAGTATGGCCATTGCTCGATGGAATGGATACATGGAACAACTTCATGTAGAGAAAAATGTGACTGCTACGAAATCATGCAAAGCAAATGCAGATTGCGAGTTACCGATACTCGCGCTGGCAGATGTGACAGTTAGTTCAAATTGGCGCCTTCAATTTGACTTCGTAATTGCTCTTAATTTTGTCACAGACGCACAAAACCGAACGCCTGACGTGATAGAGGAACAAATGAAATCTTCTCGCCTTCTAGCTGCACGTCAGTTGGAAAACACAATGAAAAGGATGAAAGTGGAAATTGATATACCCGGTTCCTTGCGGAACTTAACAGAACAAAGCTGGGAAACCATTGCGGAGAATTTGAACGTTGTAATTGCGCAAATAGATAATCTCATTGATGTCATTCCTAAAAAGTTTTATCCTATGGCCGCAGTTGGATCAAACTACTTATTTGCTATATGCTGTCTGATCTGGATTACCATGTCATCCATCGCATTTGGAATATCTGTACTACTTTTTCATTTTCACTGCGTGAATGCCGCCATTAAACCGCGGAACAGGCGAAGAATACACTGCGTTGTATCTTTTGCTCTCATTGTTCTTATTTTCTGCATTTTTGCCTCTTGCATCCTCTTCCTTGTTTCTGGGTACGCACACACGGAATTTTGCCGATACATTAGCCCTGATCGTGCAGTCATCGAGACATCTGTTGGTGAAATGAGAAATTCGCGAATTTCATTTGTTCTAGATACTTATGTAAATGCCTTTCTAGATCGAAATTGGGACAAGATTGTTAAAATAATGGAGGAAATGAACAGCGAAAGAAAGGAAGATGCAATACCCGTTCCAAGAATAAGAAGCCCGATCTATGCTCTCAATGTAGCCTGCAGAAAAAATGCTGGAATATTAGATGCTTTCGGAGCTGTGGAAACTTTTAATTTTTCCGTATTCAATAAACCAGAAATAATAAATGAGTTTGTTGACAAAGGAAGAGTCATAATGCGAGATGTCTTGCTGAACCTCAATGCAACTGAGATGTTTCCGCCAGCTCTGACGGAATCTGTTCAGCTGGCATCCCGTCTAGACGACTTCCTTATTCCTTTTGATAAAGTGAGACAAGAACTGCCAAGGGACTTTCTGAATGTTACATCGCAAAATAAAACGATGCTCATTTCGGGAACGGAGCTGGCTTACTTGTGGCGGGAATACTATTCTTTCCTTAATAGAAGCAGTTTATCCTACGAGACTCTCACCCGAGCCGATGAACTCGCAAGTATCGTTTTCAATCTTTCATCTGAAATCAAAACTTTGCTCGAGTCTGTGGATGAGAGCCTCCAAAGGTTGGGGAAATTACAAAAAATTGGTTCAACTGTATCGGAACTTCAGGGAATCTTTGAAAGTTTGATTAATCAACTCCGAAATCGAGAGGAACTAGTTACAAAAGCTATGGATTTGTACGATTTCCATGTCGCAAAAGGTTTGCCAAAGAAAGTTGAGAGTATAATTTTTCAGTATGGCCCACCACTACTACGGGAAGTTGGACACTGCAGAAAGCTGCATGATGCATATTCAGCAGGTGTCTCAGCAGTTTGCGACCTTGTGGTTGAGCCCTTAAACGGTGTGTGGTTTTTCTCTGGTCTCTGTGTCCTTCTTTCAACTGTGCTGATCTCCTTCGGACCGTGTCTTCTGCTGCACAAAATTCGCTCTTTCTCTAACATCACGGCTGACGGTGGTGAACCTCTGTGTATTAACACCCATGAACAGTATGGCGCAAAACCCGGACAAGTTCTTTCCTCTGTAAATGGGGTAAGAGTGGTTCAGCCCGCCGGAATTCATGCGCTCATTCGAGGTCGCGACCCTGGATCAGCACCAGCGCCTTCCCATGTGTAGCGTGAACTATGTCATCTTGAAATGCAATCTGCTGCTATCGGTCTTTCTCTTCTTTTTCCCGCGTCTCCTCCGTCTCCCGTCGCAGCCTTGTACAGTCTCACAATCTTTCGTCCCGGTGCTCTGTTTCTCCAACGTCTTATCACGGTGAAGGCATCAACTCTTTGTCAATCGGACTGCTAATCTCTTCACTGGTTGTGTATCGCGTGACAAACGCCGCTTTGTAATGCATGTGACCTCACGTTGTGTTCTAGCACAAGCCACATTTATCCGTATAAACACGCGTGAATGGATGAACCAGGCCAATTAAGCTAAATACACATGCATCCACATGCGGTCATTATTGTCTCTCTCCGTCTATCTATCCATCCTTCCATGATCTTCCACCACACGAATATGCGTTGATTATCCAGCATGCATTCAACATGCCAGAATGCCTTTTGCTGCATTAGAAACAGCTAAAGACTTTCAACCTTAATAATTGAGCATTGTGCTTATACGTGGATTATTTCGAGCACGTCGATGGGTCATCCATCTGTAGGAATTGCGTGCGGTAGGGTTTGTACGGCTTTTATTATTTGTGTCATGTTGACACAAACTGGTCTATCTGTTGTGTCATAACTACTTTTGCAAATAATTGTGCCATCGCAAGATTATTTCGGCCCATCCAACCGATTTATTACTCAAATCATCATTCTCAGAAACCGATTTCAAATTCTTTTGCTTTCCAAGTCACCGTCAAATATTCGAATTGCATAATTCCGACATAGACTATGACGGAAAAGTTAGTGTTTAGGGAGATAGTTTCGAATTTTGTGGTTTTAGCATTGAATACGTAAATAATGCCTCTTCACTCCCTGGCCAACATATGCTGGTACTGTTTGCAAACGTACGCAAAACCGTGCCGTTATAAAAGCTAAGACTCTCCCATTTAAAAGGGCTGCCTCACGTCTTTCTTTGCTGTTGCAATTAAATGCAAATCCAGTCACTTACTGCACACATTCTTCGAAATTCCGACATCAAATACTGCAATTTTTTAACTAGCTGCCACTAATAAGACCATTTTTAACATGTGCGTTAGAGCCTTTCGACTACTTAGTGCAATTTCGTTTAATCCCTTTAATGAAGGCGCAGAATGGCCTCAGAAAGTGCCCCTTATGCTGCGTTTTAATATTCATTAACGGATTGCAATGTTTGTTTATTTGTGTAAATATTCCCTTAGTATTATCGCAATGGCACAACTAGTTTCAGTTAAGTACTACATTAACCGCGTGTCGCAAAAATCTACCCTGATTACCTGAACCGATAGGTAAGTCTGATGACAGCAGGTGTCCATGTTTGCTAAACTTTCCATCTAAAGTCAGGCATCTTGGGAAAAGGTGCGTCTTAAATCAGATTTGGGTCGAATGATAACGTGAAACTTGGAAATGTTATTCATTTTTATGCTCGATTGGGAATGCTGAACGCGTAACTAAGAATAGGGGCAATGTTATAGCATTTCGTGACTTTGCGACGTATTATTTGAGTATTTGAAGTATACTTAATCCCAAAGCACAATTAATGGGAAACAGAGAGAAATAGTGTCAAAATCCGCTTCGAATTAATTATTTTGGGATGGTCGACTTCGTTTTAGCCAAGATGCCTACCGAACTGCCCATACTTAAGCTACCAGCGCTCCCCACACTCTTAATTAGCATTTTAGCATACACTCTTGCGTCAAGTTTTCGCGTCAATTGGAAAATACCGGCCCATATTATCATCTATTGTAACTTAAATGGGCTACATTTAATCACACAGTTTTAAAATGAGTGTGATCAGGGAAGGGCATTATAGGTCGTAGTTGCGAACGCACGAAATGTAAAAATTTACATTAATTGGTTGAAGGCCCTAAAATTCTTTGCTAAAAATTGTAATTACCGAAGGATGCGGTCCAAAGTGAGAAAAAAGTAGTAGTCCTGCTTTTATACCGGTATCTCGATGCAACAACTATCAGCTGAAACCCGATTTTAAAACAACGGGCTATTCGAACCAAAAAAGATGCTTACACTATACTCCTGATTTACGGTTTCTTGGTTTGAGTGTGTGAATTTTACAATCAGGGTGTTAGCCATGCGTGTGCGCATTGGTGGTTTGATCAGCAGGGCCATTTTCTGTTACGGCACTAATGATCGTGACGGGCAGTCGTTTACAATGGTCAAATTGTGGTACGTTTTTCATTGTTTTAGTTTGATATGATGAAGTACCTGTCAACTGTGCTTAATGGTAACACTTTCCTAAATAGGTTATTTTACATGAAACTATGAATCATTTATAGTTTTCTGATAGAATTACTGGTCCAAAGTTGTTTTTAATTTATCTAAAATTTTAATCTTAATAAGTGAAAATACATGAATGTATTTTTAGTATAGTAGCCATTTAAATGTCTCTCTAAAATCTGCATATGATCTCATTCTAGTTCTCAAGGCATTGTTGTGGTGATTGCTACGACACACTTCTTTTATTGCTCTGATTTTATAGTGTTACTGTTATGGGTCCAGTTTGGTCAGACTAAGATCTTCCTGCTATGTTTACTTAGTTCTGGATTGAAGTCTTTTGCACTCTAGCCTAATATTGCACCAAGGCTATTACAAATGACTTCAGAAAGCTTGTACTTTTAAAATGGATTCCTGGTAACTCGATGTTCCGGACAGTCCTGTCTCCGTAAGAGAACTTGAAGGTTATGTTCAACGTGTTGAGGCTTGGTGTGTGACTCTTTGTGTCCAGAGGACGATTGGGAGAATTACTTATATGCTAATAAAGAAGTTGTCAGTTTCATAGCTTGCAGTTTTACCTCAGTATGAGGACATAAATGAAATTCTACTGCCATCTGTTTACTTTGAGGCAGCTGAATGAGGTAAATCCTATGTGCTTTTGAGAATAAAGACCAACATAGTAGAAGTCATGTGCATCTCATTGCAATTTCGGTGACTAACTCAAATCCATGATAAACTAATTTCTAAAATATATTTACCAGATCTGAAACGAAAAGCTCTTGTTGTTCGAACGCTGTGTACAAATAACTAGGATAAGACAGGCTGTCGTGACAGTCGAATCAATGATTCTATGTGGTAACAATAATGTGAAAGGGTTGAAATACCAAAAGAAGCAGGGGTCAAAAGATTAACCAAGCGTAATCTAGCATCTAGTGATAACCAAAGGACAGATCTAAGTGACACTAAAGAGCAGTAAGGCATGCCGATGGAAGCATTTTCAAATGACCTATCAATTTCAAAATTCGATGTGCAATGCGGTAACCTAGAGCATATTTCGTCCAACTGGCTCGTCTCAAAGACCTACTTGACGCAAGCATCTGCTGAAGAAGGAACTATAGGTTCTGACCTTAATTCTCTCGTGCTCGCTCCTAGTTCCACTAGTCCATTCAGCCACCTTATGCGAACTCATCCTATCAGTAACGTGTGCAAACATTTACTAATGCCGCAGGCAGCACTGAGTCTTTCATTTACCTCGACTCCTTTGCACACCTTACACCTGCTGCAGAAATCAGGCACCCTGATGCCTCTGTAGGAGGTATTACAAGACGCTTATTGGTAATCTTGACCAGCTGCCAACTTATTCTTACTGACTCTCGTCTCAAACCTAGTAAATATCAGTTTTTGATCAATGATCATTGGTTTGATGTATATGAAAGTTTTGAATATTTTTGTCCCTCTCTTTTCAAATGACCTTCAATCAAACTCTACAGCCAATCGCGTTAGTGAGATAGGGTCATGCTGACGCTACCTGAATTGAAAGTTTTTCCGGCGTGTACGAAAATACGAAGTTTTCTGTTTGATTTACGCAAATCTGCTATGAATGCATTGGATTGATTAGTGGATAAGGGGATACTTAAAATTGTTCAGTCATCGGCTTGGGCAGTACCGTTGTGACTTTTCCCAAGCGTGATGATGCAGTGACGATTGCATCACCCTCAATAACCTACTACCGTAAGAACACATCCTGATTCGATTATACGGTTTTCGACTTTTCTCCAAGCTTGACTCAGAAGATGTCTGTCGCCTAATTCCGCCTAATGATGGTTTCAGAGCTTTAACTATATCTGTGCTCCCTTTGGACTCTTTTACCACGATTTCCCGTCATAGCATTTGGTTGTTTCGTCTAATGTCCTTCAGAATACAATGATTTTGCCATCACCAACTTTAAAGTTACAATTCACTAAAATGATATCATCAATTATGCTTCCACCATAGGATTTTATGCTGAAAGACTACGTATTTCTCTTGAAAAGTTTTATCACTTAATCGTTGTGTCCAGCCTATCGAGGCATATTTTAAGTACTTCAAAGTTTTAATTCTTTAGGATTTTTGTCAAACAGGAAAAGCCATAGGGACTGATCCTGGTCCTTTTTCTCACTTTTGTAAATTATCTTATCGTCAAATACTGCTTTTACCAAGTCTTAGCCAAAAGGTAACCATTGGATTCAAATAAGAGTTTTGATCGCGTATTAAGGCAATCCATATATTTGGTATTATATCCTATATTTTATATACTAGTATTTGTATATTAATATTCGCATATTTGAATAAAAACAGAAAAGTAATTTGTTGTTAAGCCCTCCGCTAACAATGACAGGGTCATTGACTGTGTGAGCAAATGATAAATTTGACTAATGTTAAGTATTTTGTGATTAAGATGCAAATTTAGACCTCTTTAAAAAAGGCGCCTAAACTTATTTAGTTACTTTTGACATATTCCTTAAGGCTTCCTAAAAATGGCTTGCTTACTCCTTGTGAACGACGTTCAACATTTGTAGATTAAATATGTTTTTGGAAACAACTTTGCTGCCATTGCAAATTATAATTCACTTATCAACCAGATAGGGTATGCCCAAATATTTATGATAATTTGTATGAATGTCCACTATCCGAAAAGTTTTTTTTTCCACAGATCGACGAATCACTTGCCCCATCTCGGTCCAAACTACCTAACCAATTGTACATTATTGA